TATATATATATATATATATATATATATATAAACGCACACATGTAGATACGCTTTGAATATGCATAATATACTTGAAATGCGTGCATATGCAACAAGATGCGGAGTAATGCTGAGAGGAGTTTGACTAAGGGATTTGAATCTGTTTTTGCTGTACTCTGCTATACAACTAATAAATAATGAAGAGAATAATGCATTAGAAATATGTATTTGTGTTCAACCTGCCGAGACACCTGAATCTGCGGTTTTTTAATCTCTGCAAAACCTTATTGTTCGTATGATTTCTGCTTCAATAGAAACACAGAAATCATAACGTAGTGGTTGCTGTAGACAGGGTTTTGAATGTGAATGAAGACTTCTCTGAGACACTCCGAAGAAATTAAGAAGTAGGTTTATTTTGTGTTGTTTTCGAGGGTTTTTTGCTCAGTTAATCGCAAGTGAGGTAGAGGAAAGAAATTGATTTAAATAGAAGTGATAATCATGAGGGTTTGCACAATTCAAGAAACCGCAAATTCAGGTGTCTCGACAGCTTGAATGTGAAAGGCGAGTTGGTTGTTATCAGTCATTTGCAGGCAAACGAAAGAGGAAAGCTGATCTAAACCCCTCTTTATGGAGCTCTTTCATGGCTGTTGAATATATACAATGCAATATTTGTTCAAATCAAATTCATTAATGCATAAAAAGGATTCAAGGAAGTCATCATCTTCCGGTTTTCAGAACGCTGGGACCGTCGGCGCTGATGGGACACCACGCAGCGAGTATATCGAGGCATATCGGCATGCAGTCTTCGTCTTTTTTTTGTTTTTTTCTTCATGAATTACTTCAGATTACTGTTATTTATTGCCTCAGGATGCGTAAAAGTGGCTCAAATACCCCGCAAATAGAGCATTCAGCTCACTGATGGGAGTTGCGTTTCATTCAAGTTTTTGAATTGCAGCATCTTCGGTTGTTGATCTTCTTCAAGGAAAGATCTTCTATTCACACATTTTGTATTTATTTTCTTATAGGTTTCTCCTGTTCTGTTTCTTTGTGGTTTCTTCTTCTTTGTTTTCTTTCTTCTTCTCCCCTGTCCAGACGCCTTTGATCTCGTTCAGGCTCTCTCTCATTGCGGCGTCTCTCGCCTTGTGCATTCGCAGCAGCACCTAAGAATGAAGTTCTTCTTTCTCCATTCATTTGCTTTCTAAGGTGATCTCCTTCTTCGTGTGGGTGTTCCCGCTGCTGGCTTGCAGCAGCACACAGCCGAGCAGCAATCGAACCCGTATAATATTTCTTCTGCTCTTCTACCTTCGTCTCGGAGAAATTCTTCTGTACATTGAAGACCTAAACAGCTTCCTTTGCATGCATATATGTAGACAGCTGCATGCATGCAGCTGCATGCATGCATGCATGCGCGGTCCTGTTCGGGGCCCATTGAATACATGCATTGCTCTTCGTAGCAATGACAGCAGGAAGAGCAGCAGATTACTACGAGCCCTACAAGCCATCGAGAGGGGCTCGTGCAGCACCACCTACAGCAGCAGCAGCAGCAGCAGCAGCAGCAGGAGGTCCAGCAGGGAAAGGCTACCTATGGCAGCTGCAGCAGCACGCGTGGGCGCCTCTTGGTTTGCTGCTGCTGCTCGGCCCCAGTGCCTCTGAGTTCTCCTCCTTGCGGGGTAAGCCCCATTCTGTACAAGTAGAGCTAGCTAGCCAGCTAGCAAGCAAGAGGACTAGCTAGCTAGCTAGCTGCCTAGCTAGCCAGCTACCTACGCGCATTGTGTACAGAGGGGCTCTCCAGCTGTTTAGGGTGTCTCGCTGTGTGTGTTGCTGCTGCAGATGGAGAATGGGTCTCCGTGCAGCAGCAAACCCATAAGGCAGCCGCACAAGATGCAAGCCAGGTGATGCTGCTGCTGTTGCTGCTGCTGTTAATGCTGCTCGGTTGCTGCTGCTGTTAGTGCTGCTGCTGCTGCTGCATTTACCGAGGCAACTGCGCGCTCTGCGCTGCCTCTTGAGACAGGGAGACTGCGATGTCGCTTTTCGTTTGCTGCTGCTGCTGCTGCTGGCGTTGCTGCTGCTGCTGCTGTTGCTGTTGCATCAGGGTTTATTGTTTTGTTTCTATTTGTTTGTGTGTCTCTTCCTTGATTAGGACAGTGCAGCAGCAACAGAGAAGGAGAAGAAGAGACAATCAATCGACTTGGCCTCGCAGCTGCGCTCTGCATGCGCGGTGGGGAGACGCCTCGATGCATGCAAACTCCCCAGCACATTCAGAGACACCAGCCAGAGGTGCAGCAGCAGCAGCAGCAGCAGCAGCAGCGAAGGGGCTACTGAGGGGACACGGCGTTGGGGTGTACAGGCAGCCCCTGGGTCTGAATGCGTTTGTTTTTGTGTATGGATCAATCTAAGGTGAGAGACTTAGCGGGTGCTGCTGCTAATTCTGCTGCTGTTGCTGCTACTGCTACTACTGCTGCTGCTACTCCTACTGCTACTGCTGCTACAGCTGCTCCTACTGGGGCTGCTGCTACTAGTGCTGCTGCCGCTGCTGCCGCTGCTGCTGCTGCTGCTGTTGATGGGTGAGTTGGGTGTTTGGTTGGGTTGTTGCGATCTGCTGCTGGACAGAGGGGTGTCGTTTGATTTATTTAATTTGTTTAATTTGTTTTAAATGTTTAATTTATTTGTTTAGTTTGTTTTGTTTGCAGCGACTGCCTACGTGCTTCGTCTTCTCGTGAATCTCCTGTCTCCTTTTCTGTCTCCTGGGCTGAGGCCTTCGTGCTGCAGCATTTGCTGCCGCTCTCTTTCCCGCTGCAGCAGGTGCAGCAGCTGCTGCATGCAGCGCCGCCACCCTTAACTTCTTTAGCGCTGTCTTTGATAGAACGGCTGTCGTCTACAGGGACCCCTAAAAAGATAAAGGGGGTTGCAGCGCCTCTCACTGCAGCAGCAGCAGCAGCAGCAGCACCAACAGCAGCAACAGCACCAGTAGCAGCAGCGGCAACAGCACCAGCAGCACAAGCAACAGCAGCAGCAGAGGCAGCCGCAACAGCACCACCAGCAGCAGGAGCAGCAGCAACAGCAGCTTGCAGCTCTGCAGCGACAGACCCAGGCCCCCCTAATGAATTCTCAGAGGAGTGGGCAGCAATTTTAAAGAGAGTTAGAGCAGCAACAGATACAGAAGAGTGGAGACACTTCTTAGGCTTTGCTGCTGCGCTGTTGGAGTCAGCGCTGCCAGAAGGGCTACTGCAGCAGCAGCTGCAGCAGCAGCTGCAGCAGCAGCAGCAGCAGCAGCAGCAGCAGTTGTTGCGCGAAAGGCCATCCCCTGTTTTGCTGCAGCAGCAGCAGCGTCCCCAGCGTCGTCTGCAGCAGCAGCAGCTGCGTGAGCAGCAGCAGGAGGTGCAGCGGGAGCGGTTTGTGCGGCGTTATTGGTTGCGTGCAGTTGAGGCTGCTTTGCTGCAGGGCCCGGGTGTATGCGGAGGTTGGGGGTGTTTGCTGCACTGCTGCATCGCCCCCAGCAATGCTACGGTGTCTCGGCACTTCGATTTTGCTGCTGCGAGAGGGTGGGGGGTGAAGGTAGATTTAGCTGTGGACGGAAGGGGGACTGCTGCATTCTCGCAGATACTTCGGCGAGCGCATGCACGCTTCAGACAAAACAAACAGCAGCAGCTGCAGCAGCAGCAGGTAGACCAGCAGCAGGTAGACCAGCAGCAGGGAGTGCAGCAGCAGCAGGTTCAACAGCAGCAGCAGCAGCAGCAGCAGGAGTTTAGTTGTCGCTGCCGTTTGTGCAGTTTGTCTTCACTGCAGCTGCAGCGTGTCTTGTGTCTCTTAGATCCGCGATCCGTCTCCGCCTTCGGGTGTACATGCAGCTCGCACTGGGCAGCAGCACAGTCTGCTGTCCCCGGGCTTGAGGCTGTGGGGTCTGTGTGGATCCACTCCCTTGGGATCGGATCCCGTTGGAGACAGGCTTCGTTCTCTTCCTTCCCTGCTGCTGCTGCTGCTTCTGCTAGTGAGTGCACGGGTGAGGGGTCTCCTAGACGCACCAACAGCACCAGCAGCAGCAGCAGCAGCAGCAGCAGCATCAGCACCTGCAGCAGCAGCAGCAGCGGAGGAGGAGGGTTGTTTAGACATCAGGTGCATGCATTGCTGTGGATGAGACACCGGGAGAGACGTGGGGCCCCACAGCTGCCCCCTGCTGATTTGCTTGCATCTTGGCGCTTGCTCGGGTGTGGGGCTGCGCAGCAGCAAGCAGCAGAAGCAGCAGCAGCAGCAGATAAAACCCTTAGGAGCCTAAGCAACAGCAGCAGCAGCAGCAGCAGCAGCATGCAATCGTCTCCTCTCTCTTGCTGCAGCAGGCCGCAGGAACGAAGCAAACAACACAGCAGCACTAGCACACCAACAACGACAAAGGAGAGACCTCTAGGGACGGTCTCTGCTGCTGCTGCTGCTGCTGCTGCTCCAGCAGCAGCAGCAGGAAAGGAGACAGATTTAGAGGGAGATGTTGCCTGGCCTCTGCCTAGAGACAACGACTGCCGCCCAGCAGCAGATTTGCTGCGGTGTCTCTCTACTTGGATAGAACTCCCTCTACCAGACAGGGCGTGGCTGGGTGTAGCTAGCACGGAGACAGCAGCAGCAGCAGCAGCAGCAGGAGGAACAGCAACAGCAGCGACAGCAGCACAAGGTAGTAGTGCTCCTGCTGCTGCGGGAGATGCTGCAGATGCTGTACAGTTACCAGCAGCAGAAACAGCAGCAGCAGCAGCAGCAGCAGCATCAGTGGATGAGGGGCGAGCTGAAGAGACACCTCAGCCCCCTCAGCCTGCAGCAGAACTCGCAGGCTCCAGGCTGCTGCAGGGTCAAGGGAAATGTCTTCGTGTTTTTGCTGCAGGACACCCCAAAATGCTGTTCGTCTGCAGCAGCAGAAACAGCAACAGCAGCAACAGCAGCAACAGCAGCAGCAGCAGCAGCGTGGCAGATGCCGCTGCAGCAGAAAAAGCAGAAACGCGGGAGGTAACTGAGGCAGAAGTGGGAGACTGTGGTGGTGTTGCTGCTGATGGCGCTGCTGCTGCTGCTGCTGCTGCTGCTGCTGCTGCTGCTGCTGCTGTGCCCGATTGGGAGGGTTTGCTGCAGCGTGCGCAGCACTGTGGAGACTTTTCATTGTATTTGTCGTTAGACTTAAAGGTGGTGCTGCTGGGGTATAAAGGGGGCTCGACGGAGACAGCAGCAGCAGCAGCAGCAGGAGCAGCAGCAGCAGCAGCAGAGGAGGAGTGTTTAGGGGGCATGTTCTGTGATGATCCAGGCTTAGGCAAAACTCTGTCTCTTTTGTCTCTTGCTGTTGTTGGTCTCTCTAATAGACACGCACCCCCTAAACACCTTCTTTACAAACAGCTAGCTGCAGCAGCAACCCCTGCTGCAGCAGCAACGTCTCCTACAGCGGAGTCCGCAGCAGCAACCCCTGCTGCAGCAGCAACCCCTGTTGAAGCAGCAACGTCTCCTACAACAGATTCCGCAGCAGCAGCACCTGCTGCAGCAGGTGCTGCTGCTGCTGCTGCTGCTGCTGTAGGGGTGGATGGTGTATATGGCACCAGCTTTGGCTGTACAACGCGGATGCGTTCAAAGAGACTGAGGATTGAGAAGGAGACAGCAGCAGCAGCAGCAGCAGGAGGAGGAAGCGAGCAGCAGCAACAGTCTGCGTGAGGCAGATGGATAGACTGTCTCCTTCTGCTGCTGTGGTGTCTCCTTTGTTTGTATAGTAGATAAAATGTGCAGCAGAGACAGACAAAGAGAGAGAGAGAGAGGCAGAGACAGCAGCGCAGCAAACAAAGAGAAAGTATTAATCAATAATAATATAGTTAATTATAAATAATAATATTATAAAGGAGACAATAAAGAAAGGAGACAGCACACAAAGGAGACAGGAGACAGAGAAGGAGACACAATTAAAATTAAAGAAGCAAAAAGAAGTACAGGAGACGCCAAACAACATTGAAGAGACAGCAGCAACACACAGACGCAAAAGAAATAGATAATAGAGACAGATAAAAGAGACAGATAAAACAAACAAATAATAATATTAGAGAGACAGATAAGAGAGACAGATAAAAGAGACAGATAGAAGAGACAGTTAAAAGAGACAACTAAAGGAGACAGATAGAGGAGACAGATTAAGGAGATGGGTAGCAGAGAGGGGCTTCAATCAAGCAGTGTGGGGCGCGGCCTCCTGTCCTGACAATGCAGCAGCAGCAGCAGCAGCAACAGCAGCAACAGCAGCAACAGCAGCAACAGCAGCAACAGCAGCAACAGCAGTAGCAGCAGCAGCAACAATAGCAGGCTCAGCTACTGTTGTTGGGGTCCTCATGCGCACAGCAAGCCTTTGCAGTTGTCGTTCGCTTAGGGTTTATTGTGTAGGGTTTAGGATGTAGGCTTCAGGGTTTAGGGTTTAGGGTTTAGAGTCTACGGTTTAGGCTTTATTGTGTAGGGTTTAGGAAGTAGGTTTTAGGGTTTAGGGTTTAGGGTTTAGGGTTTAATGCGTGGGGTTTAGGGTTTAGGGTTTAATGCGTGGGGTTTAGGGTTTAGTGTCTACGGTTTAGGGTTTAATGTTTAGGGCTTAGGGTTTAGGGCTTAGGGTTTGGGGTTTAGGGTTTAGGGTTTTGGTGCTGCAGGAGTTCGAGGGTTTATATATGGCGGCTTCCTGCGTCTGTTGTCAGCGCACATTTCGTGGGGGCGACTGCAGGTGAAGTATTACTTTTTTAGTATTTGTCTGTGTTTATTCTTTTTAGCATTTGTTTGTGTTTATCTTTTTGTTTTTTAGTCTTTGTTTGTGTTTATCTCTTTGTTTTTTAGTGTTTGTTTGTGTTTATCTTTTTGCTTTTGTTAGTCTTCGTTTGGTGTTTATATTTGTTTTTGTCGTTTTGTTTTATGCTTAGTTTTTTGTTTTTGCTGTTTTCTCGGTTTTGTGTTTATATATTTTATTTGTTGTTTTGTCTTTCTTTTTGTTTATATTTATTTGTTTGTGTCTTTGTTTATATTTGTTTTTGTTGTTTTGTTTGTTTAATCCCCGGCTTTGTCTCTCTTTTGTTTCTTTATATCTCCTTCGGGTGTATGTACACCCCACAAGGTGTATAGACACCTTAGGGTGTATATACACCCCACAAGGTGTCTTTATATGTGGCTGTGGTGTGGGGTGCAGAGGGGCTTGAGGAGAGCGACAGTGGGATCGTTGGGGATCGGGATCGCTTTGGTGGGATCGAAAATTTTTACTGCTACGATGACGTGAGGGACAGTACTTAGGTGTCTCCTTTTGCTGCTGTCTCCGCCGTCTCTTCGTTTGCTGCTGTCTCCTTTGTCTCTTCAGCTGCTGTCTCCTTTGTCTCTGTTTTTGCTGCTGCGCCTCCTTGCTTGCTGCTGTCTCCATGTTTGCTGCTGCTCTTCTTGCTGTCTCTTTTGTCTGTTGCTGCGTGCTGCAGTGTTTCTATCCCGCTTGAGTGTCTCTTCTGTTTTATTTTGTATTGGCTTCTGTCTCTTTTGCTGCATGTTGCTGCTGTT